ATTTAGAAATCTTTCTCTGTTGGGGTTGTTCAGTTTAAACAGGAAGCTGTAAACGGGGGATGTACACATCCATGTATAATGTAATAGGTGGAATGCTGCGTGTACACGCAACTGATGTTTACTTCATATGCGGCTTGAATCCAAGCCCCTTTTCAAATCAAGTACCGGTAGTGTTTAAACGGCAACCTCAGAAGCGTTGTCATTCTGGGCACCAACATATGCTGTGCTACATGTACATGTACATGGACGTGTAGCAAAATTCCATCCTTGTGCTAGTATAACACAAATCCTAAGCTACAAACAAATACTGCCACTTGGATTAAATGATGCCTTGATCCTCTTGTCACTACTGAAAATTGCTGAGAAAAAGGAGTTTTTTTGTGGCTGAGTGAGATGATGTTAGCTCGTGTTTGTGTGCAACCTTGGTTTTTGGATTCAATATGTTTGAAATGGAAAATCCTGTCACCAGTACATACTCATGTGTACAGTGTTCCTGGTAATTCTATTGCCTAAGTTCCTGGTTTTTTAAAGACTCAAAACAGCACAGAAAGCTCTCTATTTACTAAGTGCTTGAGTCTGTTGTTCTTGCGTGCATTCATGCATGTCGGAACAAATTGGAAAGAGGCTGAGAATTTGGTGTCCTTTTGCTTCCATTGATCGATATAGCTGACATTTGTATGGGGCAGACCCCAATAAACAAGTTGTCACTCACCTCTCGACGTTTTTGTTGGGTTTTGGGGGAAGGCTTTTACTGTCACTTGTAAACAGGCTTGCTCATGAGGAAAGGTCAAGGGGAGTTATTCTGCTTGCGTCACCTTTTTGCAAACTTTGAAACCGAGACTTGCAGTTTCACTTGCCAATAGAGGGGCCCATGTACAAAGTACCACTTCACAAAGAAGGTGAATGCCATTTCCAAGTTGATAAAGTTTATCATTGCGCTGAAAAGCTGATTTGGCCATCGATGAACCAAATGTACATATGCACATTTGAATTGCAATCATTTTTGTGCAGTGAAGTGAAGACACTGGTGGACTTTTTTTGTGCTTTGTGGTTGTAATCATCACTCTGTCCTAGTTGGTTTTGGTCGCTCAGCTGGCATTCTTTACCCGTAGAATACCTCTGAAGGTTCCCTGTTCCCAACATGGCGTCAACTAACATACCATACTGATGCAGGCCCCTGAAATGGACACCAGATTTTTCCAGAAAGTCGTCATTACCGCTGGTGTCTTTTTACCTCCAAACAGCCTTCTTTCCCCCTCTGTCGGGGAGTTTTCTTAAGAGCGCTCAGCCAGACCTGCAGGTGGTAAATGGTCAAAGCGGGGGTCACCAACAGTGATTCCGATAATCGTCGCTAGGAGGCTTGGATGGATTGAGCAGAGGGCCAAAGACTGTAACAGAAAACTCCTTCATTTTCCCCGTGTGACCCCCGTAGCTGGTCCGTAACTTTGATGTCACTGATCCGGGCTTATTACCACTTTAGCACCTGAGATCGTCCGCAGGCTCCCAACTCCTGACTGTGTCGGCTTCAGAGTGAATTTTTTTTCCCCTTCTGTTTCTTTGAGGAGAGCCCTGGGCTGTGTTGTTCCTTGCCTCTTTTGTAATGTCCGATCAGCTCTTGGCTTCTGTAAAAGTGAGGCTTCTTAATGACGCTGCCCTGCACGCCTTGTAAGTCTAATCCTTGAGCCTCGGGATGCAACCCAATTTTTGAGTGGGGTGGGGGTTGTCTTTGTGAGAGTTGACCCTCTTTAGTCTGACGTGGGACAGGTTCCTTTTGAAATCCGTGCTTACGAGGGGGGATGGATGCGGGTTGGAGGTTCTGCCCCATGCATACAAGCCAATCTCGTTGGGCTTTTTAACAATTCGACAGTGTTCATTACGCCTTGCGAATTTGCCAATTTTTGATTGCGGGGATCAGTGGGTGAGTCAAGCAGCCCAAAGGGCGAAGCCTTTGATACAACTCTATTGCGAGCAGAGTCTACTAGAGAAAAAAAATCCATTCCTAATGTGACTGCTGTGCTACTTTTTTTTTTTTTTTGGAATGAGCTTCTAGGCCAAGTGTTCCAGAATTCAGCAGCATGCCACTTTGAATTAAAAAGAGCAAACCGCAAGTAAAGATCCAACTTCCAAGAATCTGCGGTAACAACTTTGGGATTTCATAGCTGATATCCATTTTTTTCCTAATGTAATTAGGATCATTTTCCACCATGTCCTGCAACATGACTTGTCCTTTATAAAAGGCATGTACTGGTAGGCTCAAAACCTGTCATTTCCAAGAACAGTGTTTGCATTTGAGCATGCACATAATTAGATCTACATGTACCTGTACCTACTCATGTGTAGAGTTAAGGATATATTTCTTGGATGAGACTGGTGACGATTACACCCCAGGTATCTGTGTCAGAAAACAAGGATGCTTGCCAAGAAATCCAGACATCAGCAGGCTTGCCTCGAACTACAGTATGTGATGTGCAAACATGTACATGTGTATACACCCTCTCAAAGTCTATCTGAAGTGACTGTCAAAATCCGCAATGGATTTGTGTAGCACTGAACTTCCATTTGGGATTGCTGAGGCTAGCTACCATAAGAATGCCCTGTGTGGAACTCAACGCCCCAATGTTTGTCTGAGTGGGGGAGGGGAATGTGTCACTGGTGCAGATGCTCTGTGCACAGGATGAGAACTCCCTCGCCGTCAGCAGACGGAGAGGTTGGGAGGCCTGGTGCCCCTGCGCATTGGCAACAACGACCAGTCTGCACCTTGGCTCTTCATACCGGGACATTTGTGCTCAAATTTAGTGTGTGTCAACAGTCTAGACCTTCATGCGGTGTGGACTGTCCATGAAAAAGAGAGACTGCCTATTATCACATTGGTTGTGCAAGCCACGTGTGGCCTAAGACAGGTCCACACAGGAAACATGTTTTCGAGGCATTTTGGGAGTTGAGGTTATTCTGGAGCAAAAAGAAAAGGCTTAAAAGAGTATCCAGAGTGCAAGAAAATGATTAGTTGAATAATTAATTAATTAATGTACTACAGGTGTATGTAAGCAAAAAGGAAAGGAACGTCTAGGTAGGTAACATAAACGTAGACCTGTGCGACTTTGACTCTGAAAGAGATTGTTGCACTGTAAAAACACCAAGCCTCCTGTCTCATTTAAGTGCCCAGCACGAAGTGCACCAAGTCTGCAAAGGGTTGGATAATTAAGGGCGAAAATGCCACGAGGTCAGGGTTATAGCTTTGGGTATTGAACCTTGAAATTTTGTGTACCCTTCATTCTTGTCCGGTCTACACTTGTTAGAACAATTCACAGATGGATGGAGAGTGTTGGGGAATGCGAACATGTCCAGCAAAAGAGGTCCGGAGTAACGAGAATTGGTCTCTAGCCTCATTCGAGAATGCAGATATTTTAAACACACCCATGCACAGACCGTCTAGCCCATTTATGAATTGCAGCAAGTTTGCAGTCTGTCGATTTCAATTTAGTACCTTGATGCACTGGTGGTTTCTGTAATGATAAAGATCTAAGCTGTTCCTCCCTGACTGTTCTTCCAACCCCCCCCAAAAAAAGTTTTTCGACCAAATATTTCACAAGGCCTTCAATTCTCCACGCTGACCCAGATGTAAGCACAGGCACACAATGAAAGAAGAAAGGAAGGGGTGGGAATACTTGTACTAAACATAAAGAGCATTCAATTTGGGGGTTCTGCCTTGGCCCCATTGTGCCACGGTGGTCTTGTAATTCTCCCCGATGCCAGCGATTACTTGCCCCACTTTATTGACAGTCGGAGAGTTGAATTACTCTTCGGTCCGCACTGGGAGCCCCGGAATTGGGGTTGGTACACATGTAAGTACAAGACTCTTGTCAAAGGCCGACCATTGTTGTGTGTCTAAAGCGGTATGTTTAACAGTTTCCAATTTTTTTTTTTTTTTTTGTTGGTTGGCAGGGGTAGCCCTGACCCCGTTTTGTGATCTGGCCTGGGCACAATAGGTGGTGCACTGGGGCTCCGCCACCGTCGCGTTCTCCATTGGGCCTCCGAAAATACTTCAGACGCACACATAGAGTTTGTTTTTTCCTCCCCCCCCACCCCGTTGCACTGCTTTTGTGTGCTGGGCGGAAGACGGACAGGTGTTCTGGACGCTGACATTGTGTGCACGAGGGCTTGTTTAAATATCAGAAATTTCCTCTGACCTAGATTCTGAAAGGGGTTCCCAAGAAAAGGTTATCAGGACAAGCGCCCTCAAATCCCCATTCCTTCTGTTCCCCCCTCTTTTTCCACAGCCAGCCTGCCCTGAATGTTAAAAATCGAAAGAAAGAGCATTTGAATGAAGCTTGGCTCATGGTGGAGATTGTCGTAAGGACAGGAAAGGGTTCTTTTAAACCAGAGCTTGGAGAAAAAGAAGTCACTTGGATGACAAGGATGACAGTATGTCGGAATAAACCCTGGTCTGTTCCCAAATCCTGAAACTGTTTCATCACTGCTCTTTGAAGTGTCGGTTTTCCCTGCTGACTCGGGGAATTCCTGTCCCATTGTTAATCCGTAATAAAACGAATGTAGGGTTTTAAAGAGCTTGCCTTGTTTTCCTGCTGTCTGGTAGGAACTTTGCATTTGAATGAAGGAGGAATATCAAAATAAAGGGTATACTACATGCACATGTATCTCAACAAACACACTTGAATTCAGGAACCAAAAACTGGCAACATCAATGTTCAGAATGCCATCGGGCGTTCAATGGGTCACGGCTTTTGAATCAGACGTCATCAGAAATCGCTCTTATCTTCCGAAAACTGATTACCTGATCATGTGCGCACCTACCACGGCCAACGTGCATGCCCCCATCCCTTGACGTGTGGGTGTGGAGCGAGTCGCCGTGGGTGGTGGCATTTCGCACGTGAGCAGAACATGGATTCCAGATCGGGAGACCATCTTTTGGTGCCTTTTTATCTTGGTCCGTGTGGCCCCAATTTTTGTTGACCAGGCTCTGTTCTCATTTTTCTCATCAGGAGGCTGGATGGAAACCAACTGCAAAGCCTGCCCGAGCTGGTCTTCTCAAATATGGACTCCCTCTATAGACTGTAAGTAATACATTTTCTTCTTTTCTCAAAAGGTAGGGCTGTGCCGAATATCTGAATAACCGAATATTTGATCGATTTTCGAATATTCAAATATTATTTTTTGAGTTTGATTATTCAAATGCAAAATTCATGAAAAGGAAGGGAAAATTTACTTTTGTATTAAATGAGAAAAATGGCTCCACAGAGGCTTGTTTGAAGCGTCAGAAATCTTACAACGATTTAAAAAGTAATTATTCGTTGAACAATTTAAATTTAAATTAAGAAGAAGTCTTTTTCATCTCTTACTGCAAATCTTGCTAAATTGTGGCTGGAGATACTCCTAGATGTGAGAAGCTATTATACTGATAATAATGTACAATTGTGTGTGTTATTGCAACTGATTTTGTATATGGTTTGTTTGTCAACAATCTGCTGGTTGGTACGACCGAATATTCAGACATTCGATCAATTGAAGGTCAAATATTCGAATAGTGAATTATTCGAATTGACTCAGCCCTACAGAAAAGAGGGACCCGTCTAGTGCCTTTTGCTCTCAGGTTTTTTCATTTTGCTTCCATCCTGTCCCTTTCAAGATTCTAAACAAGTATTATTTTCCCAGATGAGAAAAAAAAAGGGGGACGTGGAAAACATGTTGCTGACACAATGGTGCAAGAATTTGGTCTACACTTTGGGGAGGGAAAAACAGGTGGAGATGGGGGTGTTCACAACAGGATGTCTTGGATGCATTGAAGTGGATCGACAGTCGAGGACAGTATAAGACTTGTTGCTACCACTGCAAGGGCGAACGTGCTTATCTTGTGAACTTGAATTGGCTCTGAAATTGCTTCCATGTGTGGCATGGTTCCAAACAAGCTTGATTGTTGGGAAGTGTACGCTAAATGCGTGTATACATGTATACATGTACATGCACCCGTAAGGCAAAAGGACCGTACATGTACCTGTAGAAGAAATTAAATTTCGCAATAACACTAGAAGTCCCAAAGCACCTGTAGAGAAAATTAAAAATAGATTTCAGGGAATGTTGTTTCTATTCTGTGGCCATTTTGGAAGAACAGGAATTCAGCTCTTTAAATAAAAATTTCTGCCCAAATCACGGGACCGAACTACATGTACATAGTTACCGTTGTGTAAATACACTTGCAATTCTTAGCGCTGATGTTTTCCCTTTGAAAGGACGGTGTACGCAGAAAACAGGATCAGGCACAGACAGTGTTATTTTTGTACATCGCGGTTGCGCTGGGCTAAAATGTCAGGCAAAGGCAATTCTGTTGGGGATACATTCAGTAGTTCAGTCATGCCCCAGTGCCAATGGCAACAGAACTTGGCCTCGAGTTGAACTAATATGAGCCCTATCTGTAAAAGTTTAGGGGAGAGAGCTTCCCCTGAAAGGTCGTCGGAGATGCATTGCATATGCAGGGCTTTTGGTATCTAACAGACCCACAAGAAGTTTGCCAGGAAGTGCCGTCAGGAGCGACCTGCCGAGAACGTCTCTCAAGCCACATCAATCTTGCCGTCATTTTTTTTATCTCGTTACCATCAGCCAGGGCTGAAATTGGTTATTAATTCAGGCAACGAAAAGAAATACATTACTAGCTGTGCCCTTTTTTTGGTCGCTGGCAAATGAAAGCCGGTGCGTCATGCTTGATTGGGGCCATTCACTGGCAGATATTTCCCCTTGCGCCTTTGTTCCGAGGGGAGAGAAGTCGGTTGTCAACAGCAAAGTTCCCTAGTTTTTTAATAGAACTAACCCTGGCATGTGTAAGGAAAGGGGAGAAAACCGCACTCAGCTTCAATAGTGCCGGCAATTTGTTTGGAGCAGGAGGCCCACCTGTTTGGGACCAAACCAGCGCTCCGTTTTTGTTATACGCTGATGTCATTTCCGATCTTGAATACTTATCCCCCCCCCTCCCCGTGGCCAAGGACTCTGTTTTAAAGTTCCCTTTCAAAGTTTTTCTATTTCCCATCCGTGAAAAGGGCACTTTGTGCTCATTTCGGTCGTTTTTGAAATTCTTACATATTGTAGGCTTTTAGTCAGAAATTGTACCGTACATGTCTTGGAACTCAGAGAATATTACGGAGAGATTTTATTCTCGCTCTTTACTTCCGTGCAAACAGTGGATACTTACTAGGTACATGTTTATAGCTAGACCCCCCCCAGGACGAACATGTTCATATTCCTACATGTGCATGTACAGTTGTATTTTGAAAGGTTTTTTATCGCATAAAGCTTTACATATAGGCGTGTTTTAAAAATGTGTTGAAATTTACACGTGCTGGTACGCAATTTCTGCTTGAAATGACGCAATGTCAATGCGTATTCTTCAGATACCAGTGACGGGGTGTCTGAACAGTCTACACAGTGTTTCTGTAATTTGTGGGAGAGGAGGAGGGTATTTTTTTTTTTGGCAATTTGTACCAGTCAGATTCAACTGCCATTTGTTACAAGACCCGGCTTCACTAAGGTGTGAAGTTGGCACTGGGTTGAACAATACCAGGCTGTCTGCTGGCTGGCTCGAACCCATCTGTTAAAAAAGGGCAGTGTGTGATCTGCACTTTTCTCCCGTCAAGGTTGGGGGAGGGGGGGTTTGTGCGAAAATGGCAGCAATCATTTCTCTTTCTATTCCCTGCCTTCATTTTGAGTTGGTCACAGTGTATACAGTACCTGTTTTTGCCACGAGGCTGTCGCGCAAAATTGCACTTTTATTCCCTTCCCCAGTCACCTTAATGACCTGCTCACTTCATGGGGGATTTGCTGAACCGGACCTGACAAGGTTAATCCTGGGCCGATTATGCTGTGGGCCGGCTGGCCCAAAATATTTTGTTATCCAAAATATCCCAAAATATTGTTGAAAGATGTAGTCTTGCATGGCTGGCCTCATGAATGCTGACGAGGGCTGACCCTGTGTATCGGGAGGTCAGTTCTTCTTTTCTTCGTACCTGGTGACTTTTTCAAACGATTGCCCGCAAATTATTAGCAATTGTACCACGCACAAAACACCTCCGGTCGTCTGATCATTCACCCTACATCCAAGGATTGCATCTGTTCTGAAGTCAGGCCTGAAATTCCAGAATAAAAAAGTCTCTGATAAACAGGCTCCCGGTTCCTTTTTGCTCTACATTGTAGCTGTGTCAACAGCCAATCATGATACAACGCAGTCAACTTTTTTTAGAGTTTGAAATCGTGCTAGGATTAAAGAAACTAAATAATGAAATAAATTTCATGTTATCAAATGATACCTACATGTAGCAGATCTGATCTATTGCAGTCATAAACTTTCCATTTCATTCTGTTGTCAATGATGGCTGTAAAGCAAAGCCCAGATGTTAAATCTCTTCAGCTTTCTGCCATCCCAGGGCTCCTCTCTCTCTTGTTTCAACTTCAAGCAGGGCCCTCGGGTTTTTTTCTCCCCATCTAAATTGAGCTTGAAGATTGCAAACTGGTATCCCTATCATTGCATCCAGATGCAATGAGGGGAAGTTAATTTGCTCCCATTGCCTCCCCAGCAGTGGTCTTTTTTTTTTCTTTTCCTCCTCTTTAAATGGTTTAATGGGGCATTACCCCTCATTTCAGTTTTAATATCTTGGCCTGACTGTACATGAATATACGAGTAGTCAGGTACACTTGGAGCGTATAGCCTATCTTTTCCAGCTCTGGTTGAGCAGTGCGGTAGCCTGTCTGCCATCTCTCAGCAGCTCATGGAGTATGGGATCCCTTTATCACGATCACAATTATCATGTTTTTCGTATGCCGGCGCGCTGACGGACAGGTTGCATCTGTGGGAAATGTGGAGGATGATGATTAGCCACTTCTGTCTGTTTTGACAGGCACGCCCTAGTTTCTTCCCCCCCTCAAGTTGGGACCTGTTGAAAGTGTCAGGTCGTTTATTTACAGCTTTGGCTTGCCTCAAATTGTTGAAGGTGGGAGGGATATTCCCCACCCCCTTTCCCAGAATGTGTGCTCCACCCCCCAGTCTAGCCTGAGAAACTCTTTCAGACTTTGGAATGGTTGGACAGTCGGCCATCCAATGCCATAAAAAAAAACTTGGCCAGTTTTGTTGGTGGATCTGCTCACGTGTAGGCTACATGGATGCACAGTCGTATCACCTGAACCGTACATGTATACATACATGTAGATGCATTGCTGTGCAACAGGAACTAGATTTTACCGTCCCCTATCTGATCTTGTATCCTCCTCGGAAATGTTGTGCTCCTACCAAGATGAGCCCCTTCCTGCGTCCTCCTCTGGCTAGTCATCTCCTTTCTTTCCTGATGGTAATTGCAGTTTGACAACATTAGTCCCCAGGTTTGCCTAATTGAATTCATACCTTAATCTCTGTCCATTTGGCAAGGGATACTACATGTACATGTACATGTACAGTGTATCTATTCGAAGGAAAATGATGCTGTACACTGTAAGGTGGCCTTGACAGGCTTTGACATTTCCCCCCCCCATGTTAATTTAGCTGTGTCCTGAATTTTTCCTGATGCATAATTATTTTTTTCACAGTGGAAAGAGTTTCTGACTGGTGTTTAGAGCCTCTGTATGATCAGGATTTTGGGCGAGGTTGCATGGTTACATACCGGTACATGTACGAGCATGTATGTCTTTTTGCTATTCCTAAAAATAGCACTATTCAATTTTTCCAAAGTTGTAAGATTAACCATTACCCGGTATATCGGCTGGCTTTGAAAGTTTTCTGTCTTTCCTGCATTGAGGACCAATCTTTGCAATTGTGAGTGGTAAAAGGGGAGTCACATCTGTACTGTAACTTCATATTTATAGTAGAAAATGGATGGGTCCCTCTCCCTGAGAACATTGACAATCCTATGATTTGACATCAGTTGCCGCATCATTTGGGCAGACGTTGTTGACTTGCAAAAGATGATTGCAGTAATTTAACGGCACATGTATAAGTTTTGTGAAAACTTGAAAAACAAAAAAAGGGTCCACCTGCTCACGACATCAGATTGCGAGGAGCTAAATGGATCCTTCTCTGGCC